GGACCGATGGAAAAAAAGAAAAACAAAGCAACAAAGAAAAGAGCTTTTGGGCCCCAAAAAACTGTTTCCGTTGAAATCACGAAGTCGATTTTCCGCAGCATTACATAACCGTCTATATACTACGAAAAAGTAAACAAGTGGAGCTGCCAAAGCACGTACTTTTTCGCATTGTTTCTAAATGCTCCGCAACAACATAATACTATAACTACATAAATAAGCAAGTGTTTTCAAGCAGAAAATTATTTTTCCACTCCGAGACTCGATCTCAAATCCTTCGAGTTAACTTGCCGGCACTCACATCTCTACCCCACATCGAACTCGAACAAATGCATAAAATAGTAAATGCCCGATTTATATAGAACACCCTTCACAATCAAAATATCCGTCAGAAACTCTCAAAGCACCAGTCCGCTAAGATCTTCAGAATTGATATTCCCTGATTGAAAATCCGCTGAATGGTTTAGGCGCAGACGGACTGGCACGTTTTGCCGCAAATCGATTTTTCGGTATCAACTAACAAAACATGGATTCTGGCTACACTAGGAGTTAGAGAATTCTTTTTACGAAGAATTTGTAAGACGAGAAAGTAATGATAATTTCGGAATTCTTGGGGTTATCTAAGTTGGTCACATGGCTAGTGTTCATATTGTATTTAAATTTCATGTCGATAGATTCATTAGTTTACTTCAATCGGTTCATACAGATGCACTGAAAGTCAACAATTGATTTGACGTGACGTACGTTTTACAAATCGCAAAAGAAACTTTAAAAAAATGTTTAAAAGGTACAAACGGCATGAGCACGTACAGATACGTCAAGTTTATTTGTATATGTATTCATTGAATTTGTGAGTAGAAATTCTCCAAATGATTTTCAATAAAGTTTCTCGACTCCTCAATAGTTTTCCACACACGTGCCACAGATGACAGGGAGAAGGAAGGCAGCGGAGGTGTGCACGGGTGGATAGGCATGCAACTGAATAGTATCTGACGGCCGACATGAACCGAGGGGCTGCTAACGGGGTCTCTTCTGTCAATAGATCGCAACCGATAAGCGAACGTTGCTGCGAAGGCTGGAATTTGCACGTCAATACCGCAATGGGCGTCCTCAGGTGGTCTTTTCAGACGAATCACGGTTTCTGCCCCATCGGACTAACTGTTGTTGGCTTATTCGGCGTGGAACACTCGCCGGACGGATCCAGTCCAGGAGAGCAGGGTGCCATGGCGAGGGGGATATTTTCCGTGGGTGCTTTGGTCGCTCCGGAAGGCACAATGGATCAACAGAAGTACGCATCCGTCCTTGGAGATCACGTCCACCCCTCTTTGCCGATTTGTTTTCCTTGAGCTGGACGACGTCTACTAGCAGGACAATGTAACGTGTCGCACAGCTCGCAGTGGACGTGTGTGGTTCTAAGAGCACCAGGATGAGTACACAGTACCCCCCTGCCCACCAAAGTCTCTCGCTTTAAACCCGACTGATAATTGTGGGAGCATCTCGATCGAGGTGTTCGCGCCACGGATCCGCAACCGAGGAAACGAGCAGTTGGCCAGAGCACAGGAGTCGGCATGGCTTCGTGCCCCTGCCTATACAACCAAATTGACTTATCTTCCTGCTCGTCGCACAGCTGTTAGCGCTGCAAAAGGGGGTTATTCAGGATTTTGACGGGTGGTGACATTAATGTGAGTGGACTGTGTATTCCGATGCGTGTATTTAATGTATTAATGGGGCGATGAGGACAGTTGGGGCTGGAGAAATGAAGATCCCGGTTCAAAAATAGGATCGGTAGTATCAGCAGCATTTTGTGACTTTCTCTTGGCGGGGCCACATAAAAAATCTCCAGTAAGCCTATTATTTTAACGTCATTAACTTCTTTAAAATTTGAACAAAAGTCAAGGAGGATTTGTATTCAGGCTTTTGCCCGTATGTCGGAAACATGGATATTTGTAAAAGGATAGAAGTTTGTTAATGTGAAGTTACTCGGCTGATGTATTGAACAACTCTTGTAATTATCTCTTTGAGTTCTTTATATTAAATATAGTTTTATCTCGGCTAGCTCAATTATCTCAGATATTTTTCTATAATACGATAATTCTATTTCGTTTTATCTCAGAGATTAATCCTGTAATAAACGATTGGGCCTGAAAATCCACCGCTCACTGCGAATTCTCGGCAGATGGAAATTTCGTATGGGGTTTTGCGCTTGTTGGAAAGCCACACTAACTATTATTCAAGTAAAATAACAAACAATTGTAACAAATTCCTTAAGCGCAACAATGACTATGTTGCGCAATTTATTTGTCTGCTGTCATAGGAGATTTCTTACTAAAATCAACATGTAACTCAAATATACAATTAAGGCCGGAACTAGGTTATTTTGCCCCGCAGGCAAAATGAAATGTTTGTGCCCCCCTTATATCGTAATAATAAAGCGCTTCTCCCAGATAAATATTTGATTTAGAGAAATAATGTACACATATACTTATTCTACTTTAGAATATTAACATTAAGACAATAATGAGAAACTAAAATGAATTCGTACAATAATTATTGAAACAATAAATTATGCATATCGAAGGTTTCGTCTAAAATGAATAATTATTGTTTTAAAATGATCAGTACTTATACTCTAAAATAAAAAAAATGTATCAAATTTTCAATTGTCCCCCCTCCCTCCGAGGTTTGCACCCAAGGCGATCGCCTAGTTTGCTTATTGGTTGCGCCGGACATGTACACAATACATTCATCCTTGGGATTATATATTATAAAGTAACTGCATTCACACTGATTCACATCCGATAACATTCATTCATCATACGCGCAGATTGTACGATTTCTTTATTGGCTGCGTCATAGTCTAGCTTCCATCCGCATCCATTCTCGAAAATAATGAATCTCAATTTTAAATTTCTTTTTGATCTTGTATTTTCCAATAATGTTCTATTCACTACAAATCTGTCATTACTTTCACGTATTTAACTAAATTAAAACACTAAAGTTTATAAAAAATCATCACGTAAAGCAAAACTTACCAAACGCATCTCCACTGTACATGATTACCTTTCTTATCCTTTTGTTGTGTCAGTAATAATGCTTTGCTCTTGATTGTCCATTGTTATTTTCGGCGCAGTGCCAACCCTACAGATTTTCTCTTTCATAGTTGGTATGCACCTTCTTCAATTGTCACACTTTCTATGTATTCTCATTCACAGCTGCCTTTGGCGATTCTTTTCTTGTATTGTTTATATTTAGAAAATACATTAAATGAACGTTTGTACTCGGAATTAAAGTTAAACATCTCGTACAAAATTCTTGAAGTCCATTCTATTTTTTCTCGGGTTAATTTCCTCGTGTCTCTTTTTAGTTCACTTACGTGCCCTTTGAACATTTTATTAATATTTCGCGTAGTAAAAATGGACATGACATGGTTCATCTCAATACAAGTCAGACTGAAGAAAAGTGAATAGGGCAGAAGGGAGCCTTCACACACAACCACCGCCGACCGCGAGTCCCACCGTTGCCGCCTCAGAAGGCCAAAAGATAGGAAGTAGGCAAAAGCCAGTTGTATGGCGTGGCTAGTGTGAACGTTGCCGTTTACAGCGGTGGCGCGGACGTATATGTGCGCTGCTGGTATGGGGCTATTTTTATAAGAATGAGCCAAAGTGACTATTCTCTAAACAAGTAAACATCACAAATAATTCAAAGAAGTATCCCACCGCCAAGGCAGCTGTATGGCCTCGTCTCTTCGTAAAGTGCTTGTTTACGACTCCCGTAAAGATAAACTATGTCTATGCGTTTCGCTCAGGTGCGTATATGCTCGTACGTGAGTCCGGGAAATATTGAAATATAATGGGAAAATGTCTTAAAAAGTCTCGTAGCGCACTATATTTTTGTCGGACGAGGACATCTCAAAAGGAAGCGTCAAAGCCATTTACAAGTTAGCCAACTGCAAAGGAACGAATGGAGGGAGTCTAATGGGCTCAAGAACATAACCATCACAGAACCTTTAGTTGTGTTGCCAACACTAGCTGTCAAAACGGTCCATTGTTATAAAAATCGCTGTATAGTGGGCGGTGGCGACCAAGCACCGCAGCAGCCGTCTCCGCCGCCCGTGTGAATGCCGCCCATGAAGCCAGTGCTCTAAGGAATCTGCTCCGTCCATCTCACGGCGTGCCCTATCCACAAGGCGCACAGGCTGCGCTTTCGCCGGGAAGCACGGGCCCAAGAGGCTGCTATAAAAAGCCAAGAGTGAACGTGCAGAGGAAACGGAACGCTAAGTACTTTTCTTGACAAATCCGCGGAGCTGCCGCTTTGGGGCCCGTAAAGACTCGGACCCTCGGAGAGACGCTAGATCTTTTGAGCAGCAGCGTAACGAAATGAGTGCGGGCCCGCTCGCAAAACTTTTTATCCCGCCCCCCCCCCTTTATAAAAGTGTATAGTAAACACTGGAAGTATTAGTACCTTAAATAATAAAAATATCCTTTGAAAAATGCATATTCATCAGTATAAGATTACTATATAAGAAATCAATGTTACTAACAAATTATGTTGATTTTGAAACAGGGTTACATACGCTACCCAAACGGGGGAAAATCGTCCTCTCGGAAGAAGCTGTATTTAAACTTTTATTATATCCACTATCGCAAAGTATCGGGGAATTTTTAAAGTAATTAGTATTTCTTAAAAATCGCAAAATCTTCAGCCTGAAAGTAGGCCTGAACGCCCTTGTACTCTCTGGAGCACACTTAAATACACAACACTTGATAAATATTAGTGGCGGGCGAGCCCTATACGGGAATTTGACGTCAAATTTGTATTAATTTTTCCGTGCATAATTGTTTTTTAATACTCGGGAGCGAACATTCCTCGTCACCAGATTTTGTCTACAACTCGAATTGCTATCATTTATTCTTAATGCAACTAATGTTGGGAAAGGAGTGGGGGTAGATATTCCGGGGCTCAAGAAAACGTGCGGATATAATCGCAATGAGAGTTTGTGTGTTTGCGTTGCTCATTTTCAAATGGGTCTATTGGAAGACTAGGGAACAAAAAGCGGTATTAAAAACAGGACAGCATAGTTCTTTTAATAGAAAACGCCTTTATTATCTTTGGAAAATATTATAGCAGAGAACACTGCGACAGCCGCGCTAGCGCCCAAGTTACACAAGATGGCGGAGGGGCGAGGGGCGAGTCGCAAGCGCATGCGCGTGGCGTGGTACGGCGCGGCGGTCGGCGCGCTCTCTGCCGCTGGAGCAGCCGCCGCTAGAGAGCGGTGGCCAGGTCAGCGTGGCGGCGGCGGCCTGCTGCACTGCACACACCGTTTAATGGGCGTTGGCGGCCTGCTGCACAGACTGCTGCACCTGGTTGGTGATGACGGTAGCCTGCCAACAAACATTAGGATTCCATCAGGGAAAAGTTCAATTTCTGCTGCCACAAAGTGCGACCCAGAAGCAATTGCGTGAATTTCTAAAAATAAATCTACTCATGTGAAATTTCGCTTACTAAGAAGGAACTGTATAACACTCCTGGAGACGTTTTCATTTTTTTTAAATTCTAGAGACGATATGAATGCACGAGTATAGTGTTAACAATATTGACATTTATTGCACAAAATATTGCCTCGTCAATGCCAAGCATTCTTCTACCAAAATTCTGTTCTCTTGTTATAAAGTTAAAAGTTTCTGATCGTTTTAAAACACGTTCATACTTTTCTAGCAATTTCGACCCTTACTGTGGCTTTAAAAAGGATTGTAAAAGTTATTGTAACTGTGCTAAAAGTTAAAAATCTATGGAATTGCATGTCAAATATTGTCAATATAATAGTTAGTGAATTAAAAACGAGTCTATGGATAAAACAGCGAGGGCTGTCTGGGAGTCTTTAGGGATCGATATTCGTTCTCCGCGGTCGCACAATCTGTGGCGTTGACCTAAAAACTGCTTGCAGGTAAACTTTCCTCCCTCAGAGGGGCACCTCCCCAGCCAGCACAAGTTCTAACTTACTGACTGGTCTCTTGGCATGTGCCTTCGCATGCCAGGTAGTGCAATGCACTTGCGGGTGTAAGAGGGGAGAGGAAGGGAAAAGGTTGAGGAAAGAAAGATCGCGCTATGACCGACGCGTTTGTTGTGGTATTGCTTCGGCATTCGCCTAGCATTTCGCCGATTTTTAGGTCGGCACCAGATTTCACCCACCAGGAAAAGGACACCGGCACATCCCGTGATAAAAGCATGCACTACATTTACGGACACGGCATATCAGTTTACGCCCTCGGGAAAAGGAGATATGGGCGACTGAAGGCGTGCGCTGACCTGCTCGACGGCGGTGCGCGCGGCAGTCTTGAGGGACTCTGCGACGGCGTCTGCGTGGGGCTGCACGGCCTCCTGCACGCGGCGTGCCTCGGCCAGCGCGCTCTCGATGGACGTCTTCAGCTTGTCGGCGGCCTGGGCGCCGTCGGGGAACTGCTGGCGCAGGTTGGTCACTTGCTGCTCGAGGTGCTGGGCGGCCTGGCGCACCGCCGTCTGGGCGTCGCCGGACAGCTGGGCGGCCTGCAGACGCGAAAACCAAACACTGCTATTGGCAACTCAGGACATGTTAGTTGATTCAGACTCGTGGGACTCCATGCCAAACAATACTGCGTCCCTCAGTCGAGGAAAAGCCTGCACAAAAGTTCACGACCGGTGGCTAACTTTAGCCCGTGCTGCGGTTATCCTTATTAAGACTTTCCGCCAACAAGAGACAATTCTCATGAAAACTATTAAGCTATAATTGAAGAAAAGTCCCACTTCAAAACTTCCTTTTAAGGAAATATTACTTAATGGATTGGTCTTAGATTTGAAGTTGGTCTACTGCGGTTTTAATTGCGTCATAAATGCGTAATCAGCGGGGTCGTAAGGCGCCTGTTTACTTTCGACGGGCAGGACTTTACTTTTAAATTCCGTATCAGAAGTTGGTGTTCGGCTGTGACTTAGAACGGTACTGGAATCTGTCAAAACAACCGACCGCTGACTTGAATCGAGGGCATAGATTATCTGCTAATTCAGATCACTTCTAGCCTTTGTCCAGAGTGGTGTGATTAAGAAAACCTGATTGTAGTCGACTGAATGCTGTCATTGTCAACGCTGTCCGGTTGCGTTATGGAAGGACACTGCTGGTAAGCTGTCTGAAATCGGGGGTATTACTCACGTCATCGGTGCATCAATCGAATCGGCTGAAAGCGGGGTAACGCCACTCTTCTTTAAAGATAATTATCTTCATTATTTAGCCAGATCTTATAAGAATCTCTTCCTATCACAATTCATCGCAATGGACCACAAATATGAGTAAACATTTTTAATTTTTATTATTTTATTTCGATTAATTATAAGTTTGTGACAAAGGAGTAGATGCGTATTCTCATGAGCTCGGTGAAATCCTGCTAAAGAGAGATCTCTCCTCCACCTGTCGCAAGGATTCTTCTCACTTACCTTCTCGTTGAACTGGGTGGCAGCAGCTTGCAGGTTGTTGGCAAAGGTCTGGGCATGGGTCTGCAGTTGCTGTGAAGGAGAACGAAAAAAGTAAGTTTAAAGCAAGTTATCGTTAGTCTCTTCAATAATGAGTTTTCTACCATGTGTGTGTGTGTGTGTGTGTGTGTGTGTAAATTGTTTTAAGAAATATTAAGTAAACCACCGTAATAGAGAACATCTGAAAAAATGGTATATTTATTACGTTAGCAAAATAAAATAAATGCCTTAATTATTTTGTATGCCCTCTTCCTAAAGTTATCATTTGCATTTCAATGCATTTCATTCCAATAAACGTTTTCTACGAAAAATCTAGGTGTAGCAAAACCATTTTTCAAATTATAGTGGAGAATAAGTACAATAGTAAAGTTGATCTAATGTTTTGCTCATTTTGCCGATTACAGTACTCATTTGATATCTCGTCGTTTGTTGATAACAGCGAGTTTTAATTGACCTTTAAGTGCAATCCAGTTCACTCTGTCAATGGGAGGTTAATGTTCTGACAGCGATTAAGATAACATTGCTGAAGACTTCATAATAAATTACTGACTAATTCTGTATGTAACGCAGGGTGTTCTGCATAACTGTCCCGTGGAATCAGCAAAGTCATTTGCTATTTCAACATATTGCAGTGGAAACCCGATATCTCGAATCTGAGGAGATCAAAGGATGGGGTATTGAATATTACGACAGATCAGGGTCACCGTTAACAAGAGGAATAATAGACATCTTTGAGATTTAGGTCGTCGAAATTTACTTGCGAATATGACTTATTATGTAGTTATGAATTGTAATAAACGGGTTGAGTTTAATGCAACACTTATTCCATGTAGTGCTTTACTCTATTATCACACTACCCATTCGGGATTGTAAATAAAGATGGTGTTTTCACACAGAATCGGTTTCAAAATTCTGAATGAGATTTAAAACATTGTGAGTATAAGTAAGTCCAAAAACAAAAGAAATACATTAATTACTCACGTTTGTTTTAAATATTCCCAAAACTGAACACTTGGATGACCAAATCCTAAGTACAGATTTTCCACCGTGCATTTCGGGCCACGAGGGAAAGAATCGTAATGTTAAATTAGACGTTTAGAAAGCACAAAACTTTTCACAATTGCTTCTGGAGCAGCCAGCTAGTAGAGGGAAACCAACGTAAAGTTGAGGGGATTGAATGAAATAAAATATTCTGCAATTCGAATTATCGAGGTTCCACTGTGCAAGCAGAAAACAACGCCTACGCGAGTCTATCTACGAAACTTATCTGCCGGTGCGCCGTCGCGAACACGGAAGCGGCCGAAGACCTTCCAGGGACTCACCTGGCGCATTTCTTCCGCTCTGTCGACCTTTTTCTGCGGAAGCAATGGCAGGTTGTAAACAAGGCCGAGACGCATTCCTACAGATTTATGGTGTTTTGTTCTCGTCGCGTACCGCCATACTCATACGATATCTGCTCGTTCATTAAGCAAAATGAGACAGTTTGAATAGAGCATTACGTGTGAAGTATTTCCAGTTCACTTTGAGAGGTTCCTATTTGATGTAGATTAAGGTAATATGACTGTAGGCGATGTAATGTGCAGCAAGCCCTCACCGTGCGCACTTCCTCCTGCGACGGCAGCGCGTTCTGGATGGTCGCCGTCAGGTTCTGGATGTGCCTCTGCGCGGCCTCGAACAGCGTGTTGAAGTCCGCGGCGGCGGGGGCGTCGCGCCGCACGCGAGCCTCCATTACCTGCGAATAAGCCACATCAACTTTTTATTCAACGGTCTCTTGCATTATTACTTTTAGTCATTTATTTCACGAATTAAATACGTTAGTAAAGCATTTCCGTATGTACAAACAACAACAACAACAAAAACGTACATAACTTCTGGTTTAAGTACGTTTAAAAACCATTTTTAGTATAAAATATCTGTAGAAGGAGCCATTGGAAGCAGAGGAGAGCTCAAATGTAAATCACAAACACAGTTCATTCCACTTTGTTGAGTAAAGAAGTGAGGATGAATATGGAAGCGGGAAGGGAAACTTCATCGGACAATTTTTAATTTCGTGTAGCAAGGCTCACTTAAAGAAATATCCAGCCTGGCCTGGAATTCTACTCGGCCCAGGGGGCGGGGGTCCTCAGTCGTAAAATATCCAAGAGCGTAAAATTCAACACAACTTGTTGTATGTCCCAAACGTGTTATGTTCGTACCCGTTAATATTGTATGCAACAAATCTTGCAACAGAAGCGTCAACTAGGTTCACTTTCCTAGAAGCGCTCCCTAAGTTTCAGTCAACGGAATGCGCGTCCCCTTCGACCGTTCCGCTGACAGCGCCTTGCGTAAGGCCGATCCCGGGCAACAGCGCGCGTCTGGTCCCAGATACTAAGCTGCCGCCTTGACTGCTGCGCCCAAGCCCGATAATCCCCCGCCCCTTGACCTCCGGCCAATAGTGGAAACACACAACGCGCAAGGCGCTCTGCAGGCGGGGCGGACCGTGAGTCACGAGCGTAGAACTCAGGTTGCGGATCCTACTTCTCCCCGTACGCCGCATCCACTTTTACTGTTCTTTCACGACGAAAGTCTAATCAAATAAACATCAAATTATCGCCAGGACTATTTTACAAGGTTGCGAGTGTACATCTCGACCTTTGAAATACTAAACGAGTACCTAATAGTCACATTTTATGATTTCCCTATAATATTTTATGATAACAATTTTCCCCCAAGAGTAATTAAAATTAACATGTTCTCATTATTCGAACTTAAGACGGTTTTATTTTGTTCAATACAGAAACATCTACAAGTATGCGGACATGCAACGTTACGCATATTCTCCTTGGGCCCCGAAGCAATTTTTGGCTGGCTGGCTGGTGCAGAGTAGGGGAAGAGGGAGGGCTACTTGCGTGTAATCCATGGGGGGGGGGGGGGAGGAGCTTCGTTCCGCCGGGTGCGTCCACCGGCGTGTCCGCCTGCGCCGCCGCTTGTGCAACCGACGTCGCGCTCGTCCTCGCGCGCGGCGGAGCGCGGCGGCTCTTTCTGTCGCCGTTCGGATCGACGGGCACTCGACGCCCATTTCCTCATTCTACAGCAATGACTCTCGGGAGTTAGCGTTATTGAGTCGACGTCGTTAGCAAGTGGAACGTGGAGGAGGGTTATAGCCCCCCCCCTCCCCACAAAGTATCGAATTGAAGATTGTTCTTTACTGGGAGAAGTATACACACTTCAAATCCTTAATTATGTACGCGAATGACGAATGTGCTCTTTCCATGTCATCGAGGCGTAAGAAAGCAGTCAAGGAAAGTCAATCCTCCAATTAGTGTTTTCTACTCTACTACTACCAAATGAAAGATACTGAAAAGAATGTTTCAACGGTTAGAATATTAGTTGGTTATCCTAGGTCCCTGAAATTACAACTTTAACTTTTATTAAAACATTCTTAGTGTTTACGACAACACTAACTTGAGGCAGAAGCACGCTATGGTGCTTTGGGAACGACAGGAAAGAAATGGTGATCTAATAAGTAAAACACCATCCCGGTGCTAAAATCTTCTGTTCAATGTCGAGGAAGGAAACGAAGGCTTTTAAGAAGTTAAAATAGCCCTAAGTAACCTAATTGCATTTACCAGCGCACGAGCAGATGTGTCAACGTTTGCACAGCCCGCATTCCCCCTTTCCTGTGCGCAGTTCGATTAGCACAGCGCAAGGCTCCGAAGCGAAACCAGTTAAGCGAGGTGAGATTGTATTGTAATCGACTATTGTACTCCTCAAATTAAAACCAATACTTATTTAACTTTACATTCAGAATGCACCAATTACTCCGGGGCGGTGACTCTCAAGGTTTTTCGCCTTTTTCAATAAGATTTTTTCTTCCTTCTTCTCTCTGCTAGGCAATCATACACTGCTATTCTTCTATCTTAGGAGGAGATATACATCGATCGCTATGTAGACAAATAAACCGCTCATGTACTAAAACATAACATCCTTGAGTTTAACAGCTGTCAGCTATTTTCAATATTTGGCGCATGTAGAAACTTTGTTGGACTTCATTTCATTCGCGGAATAGTTCTGTTAAATACCGCGAGTGCTTTGGAAATTGTCGTTAATTCCCCGAATTTCCAAAGCACTCGTGCTATTACCTGTGATAATCATCAGTATCGTGAACAGAAATATCTGCGACAGAAAAGCAAGTAGTAAATAAGACTTTCTGAAATTTCACACATTTCATCGAGCAAAATGTCGTATTAGGGCAGGAAACTGCTTCGAAAATATTGCAAAGTGCGGATGTGTGAGATTTCGACGAATCGGACAAACACAAAACGACCAATGTGGAAGCGCTTAGTGCTTGCTGTCAGCGCCGCACAATTCGGCCGGCACGCAACCCGCAGTACACTCACTTAAACTACCTTTTTCTGCAAACGAAGCACTTGCCGCTCTGGCCCCACTACTTTCCCTCCCATTTTCATGTAGATAAAAGCTTGTCTCATCAACGTAATACTGGAACCATTAAATCACATTTCTCATTAATTCAAAATTTCGACCTCACCAATCCGAGTCTAAAATGTAAACGACAGATCTTGCAGCATTACAAGGCTTCCCTGGCGAGTGGCAGGCCGATTTGCTTGTGTAACGCCCGCAGAACCGACGACGCGTGGCTATTTTCGCGCGGTGGCAGACGGTGAGGCCACGAAAGCTCCGAAAACTCATTGTCGCAAGAAAAACGACAACCTAGAATCCCGCTTGGCACTTGAAAATTTACCTCCAGTTTCACGATTTACGGCGCAGAAGAAACTGACAAAGTTTCGTGACAATCCGAATATGTAGAACGGCGAGTGTGAACAGCGCTTCACGCAAAATTGCGTTTCGACGAAAGTTTGGGGGCGTCTTAGAAACGTATTTTAATAAGCAGACTTGCAGAATGGAGAGTTTGCATTACTTTGCTGAGTCGTCTTTAAACCAGGCACCAAAGTCCCAGTCAACCCTAAGATACGACGGCCGGGATTCAAATGCAGTTTCAGGATATCTAATGATGTGGACTGGCTTGAGCAAATCCGAGGAGTAAACTTGATTGAAGAGAAATGTTTTTCATGAAAATGGAACGGCTGTCTTAAACGAAAGTCATGCATTGAACTGACCAACGTTCACGATAAAAACAAATTATTCGCCAACCGCGTTCTTGAACTTACAAAGTTCTTGAACTCTTCTTATGCAAGTTGGGACATTCATTTTCGACTTTACGATTTATTACGGAAATATACAAGAACACATTTCGGGGCCCTTTAGAATCCGAATTGGAGATGCACTAACAAAATTGAAAAGGAATGCATTTCATAGACCCTTGCATAGAAGCCGACTACTGATAAAATTCAGGTGAACGTCTCCAGTAGCAGCTGAAGACCCGAATTGAACAAGTAGGAAGATTCACGCTTGGTGTCCCGCCATGAGCGAGGCTGGTTACCTGCATGCACGCCAGGGCGGCGACGAGGGCAACGACGAACTTCATGGCTGCGAGTGGAGAGGTGGCTGCTGCGACTGCGAGAGGGCGACTGTGTCGAATGGTGCCGAACAGCGGGCGGCGGCGCGTTTTATCGGTCCGCGGAGGCCCCACCCCGTCCCCCGCCCCCTTCGACTTCGACCCGGATGCCTCGCCCCGCCCCGCCCCACCGGCGCGGCTCCGCGCACCCTCGTGGCCCCGGCGGCGCCGCCGCCCCGCGGCCGGCGCGGGAGCCTCAAAAATCGGCGCTAGGTAAAAAGCGCGGCGGCCGTGGCCCCGGGGCCCCGGGAGCGAAGTCGCCGGGGAGATTTCCGAGCGGGAGAAGCTCACGCGCTTGGGCCATGGCGGCGCCACAGTTTTATAAAATCATCCATGATAACATCGATTTATTGAGGCCGATATGTTTGTAGCATCTGTGCTTTGTGCTCGGTGTTTCTAAGTCGACCATGTTTTATTTTTAATTGGAACATGTATTCCAGAGGATCCCCGGATAATATTCGGATTTCCACATAACACGATGCTTAAGTTTGAAGTTAAAAACATTAAAAAACTAATAGTAGTCGTAAATAGGTAAATACAAAATTTTTCAGACCTATGTGACCAAGGGTGAAAACTGAGCTAGTCAGGTTTTCGTCGATGAATTTAAGTGTATTATTCAATTTGATAAAATAATTTTTTTGTGACTAGTACCTATTATTTTTTTCAGTTTGTTTCGCCAGAAAAATATAAATTATAGATCAAACAACACGACCACTGCCAAATTAAATCGCTGTTGCACGCTACGTGCAAACTTTACTGTTATTAATTCATATTTTGAAACGTTAATATTTCCGAACATCCATTATTTTAATACTTGAGTTAATTTTTTTCGCATACAGGCCAACACGGACCATGCGTGCATCCTGCTTCAACAGGTGCAAGTACCTTTCTGAGGAGGAATCAGCATTTCAGATTAATCCCGATTTTTATCCCCCAAGGTTGTTAGCCCTGGGGGACGGACGATGAAATGATGATGATGGTGAGGGATTAAAGGACGGCAAACACACACAGACATGCACAAAGTGATCCTCAAGGTTTTAATGTTGTACATGTCGAATTTTGAGCTGCACGTCTCGTCGACCAGGCGGACTCGTCCACCAGGGAGAGCCCCTGCGGGATACTTTTGTGTCTCTACGAAATGAGGTCCTGAATGGGTGACTTGGAACTCGGGCGTTCCGCGAAAAATATTCTGCGTTCCACCGACGTTGGTCCAGTTTGAAGTGAAATAATATTATCTAAAGTCGACCTGGTTGTGTGTGGTCGCTACTAATGGAGGCACAGGTACTATAACGGCCGTGGATTTAGTTCCCATTTAATAGTTGTAGTTCAATGGGCAGGACTTGACAAGGAAAACGAAGACTATGTTCGCCTACGCAGCAAATCTCGAAAAATCCTAATATAATTTGGAAAGTTTTATTTTCCAATTTCCTTCATTTGGATTCCTTGATTTTAACATTTCAAACTATGGTAATCATAAATGAAGCGCCAAGATATGAATGCCTTCTTTTCTGCTATGCCTCTCAACTGTTCCTTGATCAATCTGTGGAAAAAGAATTAAAGAACAAAATAGGCGTGGATTTTGATAAAATGTATTTTTTGAATTTGCAGTAACTTCAGAATTTCATTTAAAACAATCTCTATTTTCAGTAATGTAATTTTCTATTTATGCCTATTATACATGGGATCCAAAAGCATCCCATGTATAATAGTCATACTTGAGAGAAAAATCGTGTCTGATACGAAGGTTAAGCGTCTTTTAAGCTATCGGAGGACAAAATTAAATTTAAAAATTGAGCCTTTTGGAGAAAATTTTGAAAACGTCAAAGCGTCATGTAAAGTACCCCAACAGATCAAAATAATATTCTCAAACGCAGAGTGTCTCGAGCCTACGGGGTTCTAAAAACGGACACCAGTACTCGAACCTATGATACATGGATGAGTGAAAAATTTGACATATTTGAATCAATACGGCGGGTATTTAGAGTAGTCGAGACGGTATGGCATGGTCATAATCGGCAATGATTTTTTCTCTCGTTCAACCAAATAATTTTAAAAATAATCTTTGAACTCATATTTCAAAAGGGCATCAGAAATGACACATTGAATTCAATATGCTGGGCAGTTTGAGACGTATCTGTATGGCGTACAACTCTTTCAGACTTTGTCTCTCTAATAAAAATATACAGTAAGAATTATCTGATTGAATATACAGTAAGAATTCCCCTATGGCATAGGTTTTTTCCACACTTTCTAAAAATTACGCAGACACCTGCCGGTCGTCATACTTGCGTTTCCGTTATTCATAACACTGGCTAACTTCTCAAAATGTTTCAGCTTTGAGCTTATCATAAGTGTTTGTTGTTTTTTTTGCTGTATATGGCTCTATGATGAAAACAGTAGGAGATAAGCGTTCATTAACATTTGCATTTTCTAAATCTTATTTTCATCCAATATCTTCGCGCTTGTTCATTGATGGGCATGAATTGAATTCGCAGAACATTCAGAAGTTTCGGGTTGGCAAGATGGCTTTCTTTACAGTTGGCGAGTACCGCAATGAACAATGAAAACGGTGACGACAGCGACGACGATGGAGATAATGATGATGAAGAGGTGCGGGATTGGGATAATCCCAAAGAAGACAATTACTATCTCGCTCTTCCCATCTTATACACGTCACGGGACAACACGAATTTAAACTCCGATACACGTGTGTACAAAGGAAAGGGTTGGCCGTGCATTGGGCAGTGCATTGGGGCCGTGCCGGGTGTCCCCCAAATGGGATGACAGGTTCACCGAAGAATCGTAAATGGTTGGTGCAAACAAAATAGGCAAATGACAGAATTAATGAAGTTCCTCACACAGAAATCGATACATGAACTTAGGTTTTTAAAGTCAGACGTGAAGTTTAGGAGAGATTCAGTATACGTCATATTTTATTAGGAATCTTACGATCCCAAACTGTTTAAACACCTTCGTATTCCAGATGTAATTATGTAAATGGAAAGTTTGATGAAGGAATAAAATAATATAAATTATGATTTCGAATAAACACATACATTTACAGAAAACTAAGCAACCCCTGGATGTGTGAGATGTTTTGTTAAACTTCCAGGTACTTGGAAAAATTAAAAAAACGACTATTTCTGATTCAAAAATGCAAATATTTGATTATGTTAATCCGCAAGTTCTCTATAACAAACACAATTGGAACGATTATTTTCTAGTTTTTCCCACGAATATTAACAATACCTATGCCATTGTACTCATATCTACAATAACTTTAGAATTGTGGTGAAAAGTACAAACATGGGGTAATGCAAATATCTCAAAAATCAAAAAAATCGAAAAAAAAGGAAATTACATTTTTCATTTTCTATCATATTCAATAACTTTGTGCTAATCGCCACCCATCGCATACCGTTTCGAAGATATTCCCTGTTACCTAATTAGGTGGTCCTATTTTCATAGCGTCATATGAATATGTTTATTGTTGTTTGAGTTAATTACCTTCAGTATCTTTCTCTTCTTCCAGAATTTTCCTAACAAGTTTTAATTAATTTGCAGGCGGCCTTGTTAGCCTATTGGCGTTGTAATCAAGGAGCCTGTAGCAACAAAAATGCTGCATCCGTTTACCCATAAACAGCATTTTCACTGCTCCGGGACCACCATTTCCGACGCATTCGACAGAAGCATTTTTGTTGTTGCCGGCCACTAGTAGAAAATATTTTAGACATATTGATATTATGCAGCATTTGTAGCTTATTAGGCTCGATGGTAATGAAAACGTTCGCTGCCAAATAACTAGAAATCTTAGATTATGCTCTTTATAAAATGAAACTTTACAATGCAAAAATTGAAACTTTGATTTAAAATTTTTAATTTAACACTCATGCCCTTTTTGAATGGATTGAAATCAGAATGAAATGCTTTAAAAATGCGTGGAAACCAATTGTTCTCTGATTTTTCCTTCAGGAGAGCGCGAGTGGAATAAGTTTCAAGATCCAGCTCTTTCCGAAATTCGAACACAATAACAAAAAGTTACTTTTATTGGTGATATAAGTTTCCAATGTTCTTTTCGAACAATTACAATTAAATCAATGTCGAAATTCTGGATCCAAAACGTGTAAAAAGAACTCAATGTGAAAAAGGTTAGTTTTGGGCGTATACCCAACTTGCTGGATGGTTAGGGCCTTCCTACCAATGGGCGTGGGCGGAGGTCAGATGTTCGAGGGGAGGGGCGCTAAGAGGACGATAACACTCCCGCGCACACAGCGAGCGGCGCTGCTCGCAGGAGGAGGAATACCTCATTAGTGCGAATGAACTGTCGCCAATCGGAGGGGGCGTGGGCGATGACTCACTGCAGACAAGAAGAGCCCAAGGAAAATTCCAAACGGAAAGAACGGGAGTCTTCTACGCTAATTGCCATAGGAAGTAGTCCGACCTTAGTGGGCAATTTGAACAAACAGTTTCTTTGTTGGTGGCAGAGACTAATTTTTTTCAGACTTTTTTTCCCGAGCACGTTAACTTGAGTACGTTCAACGCTCCATCACATCTAGTATTTCATTAACGGTGATAGGACATACCCTGTTCATACTTTCATGACAGTAATCACAAAATTGGAGAAGTTTCTGTGAATTACTTTCACATAATTTCCTGAAGTTCCAGAATTTCCTGAATGGTCATCACTATCTGTAAAAAGAATTTGGTTTTCATTAAAACGTAATTTGGTTGAATGGTTATTTTGAACTACTTTTGCAGTGTCGTGAAGGACAAAGGATAGTTGATGCCAATCACTTATAGGTGAAATGTTTTGATGAGGTGAAGAAGTTGAAGTAGTCGATTCTTGTACGTTAGTTAAAGTTTCGTATGTGGAGTGGGTCAGGATATTATACAAGGGTGCAGATGATTTTGATCGTTTGTAAGGGTTTTCAGAAGCATCCGGTGGATGGAAGCGACGGACGTTGTTAGTGATGTCTTCTAAGTTAGTTTCAAGTTCTGGCAGTAACTTTGCCGAAGATTCTTGAAAA